GGAAGGAAGGAAGGAAGGAAGGAGAGAGAGAGAGAGAGAAGGTGTCAAGCACCAGTTGAAAGCAGTCACTAGTACAGTGGCGTTAGGCAGAGGAGCCTGGCCTTCACAGAGCTGGAAGGACTGACCAGGGCACTTACCTGCTAAAGTGCCTTGCTTATCAAGCTCTTGGTTTCTCCATTCACTTTCCTATCCAGTGAAAACCCATTCCTACTCTCATTAAACTACAGTCCTATTGTATAGTTAAGAACCACTTAGCAAAGCTACACTATTTAGCCAGGTGCCAGGAGCTGATGCCTACAGCCTTAGCTACTCAGGAGACTGAAATCTGGAATATCAACGTTCTAAGCCAGTTAAGGCAGAAAAGTCCGTAAGACTCCAGCCCTGGAGGAGTCAGCAAAACGCTGGGCTTACCAGGCACTGGTGGCTGACACTTATAATCCTAGCTACTCAGGAGACTGGGATCTAAGGATCACGGTTCAAAGCCAGCCTGGGCAGGAAAGTCTGTGAGACTCTTATCTCTAATTAATCACCAAAAAAAAGAAAAAGCTGGTAGCAGAGTTTCTAGACACTTCTTAGATACCAGCTAGAAAGCAGAGCTTTTTAGGGGTATGGCTCAAGTGGTAAAGCATTAGCCTTGAGCAAAAGCAGCTTAGGGACAGGGCCCAAGCCCTGAATTCAAATGCCAGGACCAACACAGACAAAAAAAAAAGGCTGGGCTGGAGATTTGGATCAAGTGAAAGAGCAAGCAAACTAAGTGTCAGTGAACGATCCTGAGTTCAAACTCCAGTGTCAGCACACCCCAAAAACATACAAGATTATAAATGTAAAGATATGTCTCCAGACAGGGCTGACAAGAGTCACTTCCTGCACTGCTGATAATCAGTATGCCCACATTTCACTTACAAACTACAATCCCCAATTTAACGACACAGGGATGAAAATTAATCCTAATCACTTTACACCTCAAATCCCATACAGGATAGGATGTACTAGTATTATTTCATAGTGGAAGACACCCCCTAATGCAAAAGTTATTTATGGTGGTACTTGTAACCAATCATTGGCAAAGGGCCTTCAAAATAAAATTTAAAAAATTAAACCTCTATCAGATCTTGGATGAGAAGGACTGACTGTCAACCTAAAGGAACTGATCAAGAGCCCATTAATACTAGAAAAAGTGTTACTGAAATAGTTCAGCTTTGAGGAATTTTCCTAGCCGCGTACCAGGTTATTCACAAATTTAGAGATACAGTTCAGCCGGGCACCAACGGCTCCTGCCTGTAATTCTAGCTACAGAAGAAGCGGAGATCTGAAGACAAGGGATTGAAATCAGCCTAGGTAGGAAAGTCTATGAGATTCCTCTCTCTAATTAACCAGCAAAAAGCCAGAAGTAGGGGTATGGCTCAAGTGGCAAAGCACCAACCTTGAGTGAAAAAGATAAGGGAAAGTGCCCAGGCCCTGAGTTCAAGCCCCAATATTGGTGTGTGCACGCATGTGCGCATGCACACACAAACACACACATACACACATGAAGAAGAAGAAGGAGAAGAAGGAGAAGGAGAAGAAGAGGAGGAGGAGGAGGAGGAGAGGAAGAGGAGAGAGGAAGAAGAAGAAGAAGAGGAAGAAGAAGAAGAAGAGGAAAAAGAACAAGAACAAGAAGAAGAACAAGAGGAGGAGGAGGAGGAGGAGGGAGGAGAGAGGAGGGAAGAGAAGAGGAAGGAGGAGAAAAAGAAGGAGGAGGAGGGAGGAGGGAGGAGAAGAGGAAGGTGGAGAAAGAGGAGGAGGAGGAGGAGAGAAATACAGTTCACAACAACCCAAGCTCAACAAATCTAAAGCATTTCCTTCCTTTGAAAAGAAAACTCCATACTTAAGAGTCTACTAAGTACCAAAAAATAGTCACTTGTGACCACAGAATCAGAGGCCCCTGTGGTAGAACCAAGTCTGGCTTCTGCACCTGGATCTCTAAGCTATTTCTGTATAGAATGCAGAACCAAGAGCTAGGGCCAGACCTTGGGGACAGCCACTCACCAGAGCTCTGATTAATCTCATTGGGATTCAGGGACAAGCAGCAGATCTGCTGGAAATAAATGTCCTCCACCTGCAATTACCTGGCCAGCTATAAGGAGCAAGGCACCAGGCTGGCATCTGGTTGCGTGGCTACCTCAAGGATGCACTAAGCACAGGGCACAAGGTAAGGTGACATGGCTTGGCCAGCCAGGACTGCTGTCAGACCATGCTGACACAGACACAGGCTGCTTCCTCCAGAAACTCAGGCTGACCTCCACAGGGCAATATGGTGCTTGCAAATGAGGGCAGCCCCCAGATAGACAGCAAGACTCAGTCCTCAGAACACATTAGTATAATTAGACATCTTTAGCAGGCCAACTAAGGCAGCACTAACAACTCCTTCACCATTACTTTAACAAATGCGTTTGTAACTACATTCTATTTAGCTTCCAATTAAATGTGAGTCTGCATTAAATAATGAAGCCATTCAAGGTTGTTGTTTTGAAAACAGCATCAGTTACTGTTCCAATGTTGCTAATTATTACAAAGCTCTACCCAAAAACTAACTGTCAGAAATGTGATGACTATAGTTATCATGATGGTAGGAACTTCTAACAGGAACCTAATTCCTCCAATTGTAAATCAGATCTACTAAAAAAAAGTCATCTGGCTAATTATACCTACCACAGTTACGATTAACAAATAAGCCTAGAAATTTCCACAAAAAGAGTACATTCAGTGGAAATGTGAATAGACATTTGGTATGAATATCTAACAAAACTTATTATGCACATGTGAGGTTTGAACTCAGGACCCATTAGATAAAAGTTAGATTTAATCAGATTAAATCCCATTTGATTAAATCAGATTAAAATCAGATCTTCAACATGATGGTTTTAGTCATAATTTTTATCTAGATATAACTGCAAAATATGCTATGAATATAATTGCTTTTTTAAATTAACTTCACATGATTTCAAAGAAGAAAGCGTTGCTTACACAGAAGGCTAAGATCTGAGGATTCTGGTTCACCATCAATCCTGGCAAAAAAAAAGTCCATGGACTCTTACTTATGAACAACCAGCAAAAAGCTGGCAGTAGAGGTATAACTCAAGTGGTAAAGCCTAGAGCAGAAAAGCTAAGCAAGCACATTAGATCCTGAGTTCAGAAGCCCCAGTATGGACATGAAAAATAAAGGAGGAAGAAGAGGATAGAAAAGAGGAGGAGGAAGAGGAGGAGGAGGAGGAAGAGGAGAAGGAGAAGTAGGGGGTGGAGGAGGAGATATAAGTCTTTTACCCTATTTATTCTCATTATGTACTTTAAAACCAATGATTCACACCTGTAATCCTAGCTACTCAGTAGGCTGAGATCTGGTTCAAAGCCAGACTGGGCTTTGAAGGTAAGAGTCCATAAGACTCTTATCTCCAATTAACCAGCAAAGAGAAAAGAAAAAACACACACACACATACACAAAAAGTCGTTAAGTGGAGCTGTGGCTCACGGGGCAGAGCAAGTGTTAGATCAAGAGGTCAAGGTCAGCATCCAGGCTCTGAATTCAAGCCCTAGTACCAGACCAAAAAAAAAAAATAATTGAAGTTTACTTCTGTGGTTTCTAATACTGAGAGTTCAGACGTGTGGTTTATGATTAAAATTTTTCTACTCATTCTTATCATACTTTATTAAAAAAAATAAGAAGGAGCAAATGATTAGAAATGAAGTGTGCATGGTTTGGGAAAGGCTGGACTGGCGCAAGTCCCCAGCACACACAGGAAGCCGGTGGAAGGTTTGGAGTTCTGTTCTAGGAGGAAATACTGCGGGAATTGGAACACTTGTCCTGCACAAGTCTCCCAAGGATTCACAGGCTCCCTCATCAAAGGATGATCAGCTTTGTTCTGCTTAAACAAGCCTACGACACTGATGATAAATGAGCAGACCTTGCCCAAATCTGAGCTGGCCCAGTGTGATCCTGAACTTGAGAGGCAAGAACACACTTAAGGCTGAAGTTGTCACCACTGTTCAACTCCACCCTGGTTGGGTATGGCTTTCTCTGCCCAGAGGCCAGTGTGGGCCTGAGCTTCCGGGCAGAGCTGATGAGATACTGCTCTGGTCTGGTCACGCCGTGCCTGGACGCCATGACACTGCCCACTGGCACTCTCATGAGAGCCATTGGCTAAATGGAAAGGACTCTGCCTGGCACCCTGAGATTCCATGCATAATTCAAATTATTTTGGAACCAGTCATGTTGAATGCTGCTTTAACTAATTTTAAAGTTTTAGAATGAACCTAAAGACAACCCATCGAGGACTTAATTATAAAAACAGACTAGAGCGCAATCCCACACCATGCAAATATAATTATAAAAATAAAATCTAAGCCGGACGCTGGTGGCTCATGCCTGTAATCCTAGCTACTCAGGAGGCTGAGATCTGAGAATCACAGTTCAAAGCCAGCCTGAGCAGAAAACTCTGTGAGAATCTTATTTACAATAAACCAGTAGAAAACCAGAAGTGGCGCTGTGGCTCAAGCGATAGAGCACTCACCTTGAGCTGAAGAGCGCAAGGACAGCTCCCAGGCTCAGAGTTCAAGCCCCAAAACCAACCAAAAAAAAAAAGATAAATTAAAATAAATAAATAAATAAAACCCAACCCGGCACCAGTGGCTCATGCCTGTAATCCTAGCTACTCAGGAGGCTAAGATCTGAGGATCAAGGTTCAAAGCCAGCCCAAGCAGGAAAGTCCATGAGACTCTTGTCTCCAATTAACCAGCAAAAAGCCAAAAGTGGAACTGTGGCTAAAGTGGTAGAATGCCAGCCTTGAATTTAAAAGCCAAGTGAGAGCTTGTAGCACTGAGTTCAAGCCCCAATATCAGCACAAAAAGTCATCAAAGCAAAAAGGACTGGAGATGTGTCTCCAACAGTAAAACTCTTGCACAGTACCCAGGGGAGGAGGAGGGGAGAGGGAGAGGGAGACATTGGTTGTGTAAAAGAAAAGGGGTTGAGATACAATATGTAAATTTCACTTCTGCTTGAGTAGGCACAGTGCATACTTTTCTCAAAGCTGGAGTTGTTTTTTTGTTGTTGTTTTGTTTTCAAGATAACCACAAGAAAGGACACCAACCTTTGATAGTTCTGAAAATATGAAATCCTAGCTGCTGAGAAGGCTGAGACCTGAGGACTGCAATTCAAAGCCAGCCGGGGCAGAAAAGTCCATGAGACCCTTATCTCCAATTAACCACCAAAAAGTCCTAAGTGGAGCTATGGCTCAAGTGGATGAGTGCTAGCCTTGAGAAGAAAATGTTCAGGGACAGTACCCATATCCTCCGTTGAAGTCCTAGTACTGGCATAAAAGAAAAACAAAAACAAAGCCATACTTAGGCACATGGGGTACAGGTCAATGGTAGAACACATGCTTAATGTGTATAAGGCTCTAGGTTCAATCCCCAGCTCCAAAAAAGATTTAGTGAACTACTAAAGCTTTCCACATAATGTATTTACCATCTCTGATAAGTCAAGTAGATTTTGTTAAGGAAAATTTCATAAGGTAACTGAAATAGACTCATTAAGCAACCCAGAAATCTGTTCTATAGAAACTAACCCCTTAGCCTGGTGGATAATTCACTGCTTTCATCCATCTGGACTTTCCTAACAAACCTAGTTTCCTACCTCAAAAACAGAGCCACAAAACCATCATGAGACTCTTCGTGAGGCCATTAACATGTCAGTAAAAACACTTGATGGGATTTTTCAGTAGTAAATCTTTAGAGGTGCAGTCCCATGAATGAGTACTTTATTAAAGACCTCAAGCTTTTACTGCTCATGTTTTTACTTTACAATTTTTATTGTTTTGGCAAGAACCTCAAATCACAGTGAATGTGTTTCCAAAGTCTGAACAACACTGTCTTGATCACTTCCAAGTAAAGACACTTATATAAGAAAAGAAATTCTTTGTAGTTGTTTGGTACAAAGGGGTTGCAATTCATCATGTCAAAATAGTTTCTTACTTCCTAATGATGTATTTTATGGACAAACATAAAGATGTATTTTATGGAAAAATATAAAATTCTTCCTAATTTCCAAGTCTTAATAATTGAATTAAAACTTAATATGAAGCTGGGCGCCAGTGGCTCATGCCTGTAATCCTAGCTACTCAGAAGGCTGAGGTTTGAGGATTGTGGTTCAAAGCTAACCCAAGTAGGAAATTCCATGATATTCTTATCCCCACTAAACTATTCAAAAAATCCAGAAGTGGTGCTGTGGCTCAAGTGGTAGAGCTCTAGCCTTGAGCAAAAGAAGCTCAGAGATAGTGCCCAGGCCCAGAGTTCAAGCCTCAGGACCGGCAAAAAATAAAATAAAATAATATTTAAAAAAATTAGTGAGTTCCTCAAGAAACTAATCCCTCCCAAACCTAACAAAACAATTACTAAATAGGCAAGCGAACTAAAGAGAGATTTCTAAGAAGAAGAGATAACAATGGCAAAGAAATACATAAGGAAATGTTCACCATCCCTGGTTGTAAAGGAAATGCAAATAAAGACAACCCTGAGATACCACCTTACCACAGTCAGAATGTCCCACATCCACAAGTCAGCCAGCGACAAATGCTGGAGGGGATGCAGAGAAAGAGGAACCCTATTACACTGCTGGTGGGAATGTACACTTATACAACCACTTCGGAAAGCAGTCTGGAGGGTCCTCAGAAAGCTAAATATTGACCTCCCTTATGACCCAGTCATACCACTTCTAGGCATCTATCCTGAACAATAGGAACCAGTATACAAGGACACATGCACCTCCATGTTTATTGCAGCACTGTTTACAATAGCCAGGCTAAGGAAACAACCCAGATGCCTACCACAGATGAATAGATCCAAAAATTGTGGTATCTGTACACAATGGAATATTATGCAGCCATTAGAAAGGACAAAATAATGGCATTTGCAGGGAAATGGATGGAGCTAGAAGAAATCATGTTGAGCGAGCTAAGCCAAGAGCAAAGAGACAAATGGCACATGGTCTCCCTGATAAGTGGATGTTAAATCCAAAAGGTAAGGTGATATGACAAAATTAACAAGACTTAAGAAACAAAGGACTTCCACTCATCTGGTAGAATCACTACTAAATAACCCCATGCTGCTGATCACATGTATGGTATATACGTGTACACCGCAGGGAAAAAACAGCGAGACCCATCAGCTGCACTGGACATTGGTCAAAATGAACTAAGCAATTTAATGGCAGTGATGGGAGGGAGGAAACAAGTGGGAAAGAGGGAGCAGCTAACCCTATGCAAAACAAAAGAAATGTACATATTACCCAATGTGGAAGAAATAACTGTATTGCAAAGCTCATAGAACTCATAAATGTTATAGGCCCTGATAGACAATTTGCCCCATGGAGGTTAAAATGTGATTGTAACTTTAACTAAGCATCCCTATCCCACAATACTGTGAAATTTGGGAAAATATGTAACCACTTAATCACAATGAAGAATTTGAAAAAAAAATTAATGAATTCCCACTCAAACTCTTCTTCTGCCCACTCAAACTCTTCTTCTGCCCCTCACGCCCTACATGCCTGCTCAGCCAACGAAAGGAGCGGCCAGGGTGGTGCATGCATAAGCCGTCAACAAATCAGTGCAGAGCCCAAGAGCTTCTCTGGGCTTCTCTTTGGGGTCTCCCCACTCTCCTTTCATGGTTCTTTCACTGTGACGTAAGGTTTCTCTGTTTACCCTTAACATAAGTGAATGAATAACTTTTTAAAGTGACTGTCTCCTTTCTCCTCCCTCTTTCCCCCTCTCCTGTCCCTTCTGTTCCCTACTTCTCCCCCTCCCCCTCCTCTCTCTTCCGTTATCCATCCCCTCCCCTACCCAGGTGAGAACCCAACAAGAAGACGGGCCTCTCTGAGCTAGAAAGCGAGCCTCCCCAGAATCAACCTCCGCCGCACCCTGACTTCGGACTTCCCCAGAACTCTTGCCTAAGCCCTGTTCTGCTTTATTTTTTACCTTGCCGGGTGTCAAACCCAGGGCCTCATGCATGCTAGGACGGGCTCTTGCATTGAGCTAGACCGAAGACCCTGTGTGGTCATCTGTTATGCTAACACAAGCTGCCCAGGACATGTGCTTGATAACCATGATACAATCTTCAGCTCTTTTCCCAAAAATGAAGTGCCCGAAGAAGAGGCGGCCACAGCTCCCCACATCACTACAGCCAGCCAAGGTGAGAAAGGCGCCACGCCCACCGGCGGCGCCACGCCCACCGGCGGCGCCACGCCCACACATCAAAGCCACCCTCCTGCTCAGCCAGGGAGAGCAAGGGCCCTCCTCCCTCTCTCTAATCAGAACTCCATCTCCTCCAGCCCCCACCCCTTTTCTCCAGTGTACTTTTATTAACAAATTGCTCCAGTTCACTTCTGCTTTTGGAAGTTGGTTGTTATTACTAATCCAATAATTGGTTTCTTTTCCACAAAACTTTAAGGAATAATTAACGGATTAGACGGCATTAAACATACGGCAGTAATTTTCATGCTCAAACAGATCTAGTTAACTGAAAATGTCAAGCAATGCATGTGTAAATTTAGGAATAAGACTCCTTTTGGTCAACACCCCTCAGAATTTCAAAATGACCGTCAGGTGTGGTGGGGCACACCTGTAATGCCCACTACTCAGGAGTTGGAAGTAGAAAGGTCATGGTTCAGATCAGCCCAGGCAACCCCAAGACCCTTTCTGAGAAATAACTAAGTAGAAAGGACTGGGAGAAGTTCAAGTAGTAGGGCATTTATTTCTCAGAAAGGGTCTTGGGGTTGCCATTTTATACTATATAAAAATGAATGTGTTATATATTAGATGAGATATATTCTTTTCTGTGTGTGCCAGTCCTGGGGTTTGAACTTAGTGCCTGGGCACTGTCCCTGAGCTTTTATGCTCGATGCTAGTGCTCTCCCACTTGAAACACAGCTCAACTTCCAGCTTTTTTGGTGGTTAATTGAAGATACAAGTCTCAGAAGCTCACCCCCCCACCCCGCCTCCCAGGCTGGCTTTGAACCATGATCCTCAGATCTCATACTCCTGAGTTAGCCAGGATTACAGGCATGAGCCACCAGCACCCAGCTGAGAAACATGCTTT